GTTATAGCCCCTCTTTCACATACACATGTTCAGAGGTGCTTTACAATGGTACAAATATAAAAATTATAAAATCATGAAAATTAACAATAAAATACTAAGAAAACACAAGAATCAGTATAAATTGCAAGATATATACATGTACGTTTACAAAAGCTTGAAGAAATAAATGGGTTTTAAGTTTTTTCTTAAAAGTATTGACATTATTACAGGACCTGATATCATACAGTAACTTATTTCATAAAGCTGGTGCTTTAACACTAAAATATCTTTGACCAAAAGTTAACAGTTTTGAATATTTGGGCTTTAAAAGAAAATGATCATCCGAAGAGCGTAAACATCGCCCTGGTGTATACATATTTAAAAGATCAGATAAATAAACAGGTGCTAATTTGTTCAAACATTTAAAAGTTAACAATAAAATTTTAAAATCAATTCTATAAGAAATAGGTAACCAGTGTAAATTTTTTAAATTTGGAGTAATATGATCATATTTTTTAATGCGTGTAATAAGGCATGCAGCTCTTGTTGAAGTTTGGCTGGAAGACCAGCTAAACCCCAACTATATGCATGTGAGAAGACATTTCAGAAACCATCGTAGATTGTACACGGCAGTATGTAGCTCGACTTTCCAATAACATAATATAGAATACACCATGTAGATCAATTGTATAAACTCCCTTGTCGGTCTGCAAGCAACTTAATTGTGAGTTATGCAAATGCGCTAAATATGGGCCTGTATAATCATGTCTATCACTTTGTGATGGTATGCATGTTTATCAAGAAACAAAAACAATTAAGTAAACTGAACATCCATGATATATCGGCATGAGTTATGCAAGGGCCTCGTGAGATTTTCAGCCAGGGGCTTCGTGACAATTTCAACCAGGGGCCCCATGCAAGTTTAATCCAACCCTGCTGAGCAGTTTGTCTAGTCAAAAATCACCGTATGTTTGGCACCTTATAGCCCAGTTGGAGCTGACGTGCCATAAAATTCCATTTGATTTCATTTGCTCGGCAGTTTGTAGCACGTCTTTGTAATAACATAATGTTGAATACACTGTGTATATTAATGGTATAAACTCCCTTGTCGGTCTACAAGTGACTTAATTGTAAGTTATTTAATTGAATACATGTTAGAGGAAATTGGTGTCCATTTTAGATCAATATTAGATATTGTATTTCTGCTGCTCCCGGTGTGTTCCGTGTTTAACAGATCTCAGTGATTACAGTAGAGGTTACAGACTTGTATAGGGTTAAAAATAATTTCCCACGCTTGCATGTGATAGGAGTAGGGGTCGTCTGTCCAATCTCGTGGGTTTCCTCCCAAAGTCCCGAAATGACCCAAGTTAGGTTGAGTGGATGTTAAACCCCATTTATATCTCTAGATATGACTTTTTTGACCATACATTCCCCGGTAGGGTCATCAGTCCAACATCGTGGGTTTTCTACAGGTCTTCCAGTTTCCTCCTACTGCTAAAGACCCCTACGCGCAGGTGAATTACTGAAATAATATTTAAGCACATGTTAGTCCCAAAATGACCTAGTTTGTGTCAAGTGGATGTAAACCTCCCTCCTCTCTCTCTCTCTCTCTCTCTCTCTCTCTCTCTCTCTCTCTCCCCATATATCAAAATGATGAATACCCTGAAATAGTGAGATAAATGAGGTGGCCTTATACATTAATCAAGATAAATGATGGAGGGTAAAGTAAATGGCACGCTCTAGTAAGGGTAGACTAATGTTATTAGACATATAAGATTGTTTAATTCTACTAAGATTGTTTCAGCTTTTCGTACATGTATATTGGAATTTTCCGTGTTGCCAAATATTTTACAATCAATGCTGAAAATAATTTTCGAATGTTTGTCTGACACCATGTCAGACTGGATGAACATTCTGCCTGACATTTAAAATTTTTGGTCGGACATAATATTCTGACATTTGGGTTGGCAGTTGGCACAATGTCTATCAAGATCTATTCTGTTGACTAATATCTTTTACGATCCACATCATGTGAGCCAGGACAATTTTGCTTAGTTTTCGTTTGACCGACGAAATAGGTTTTGATTTGTCACGGATATAAAAATGTTACCCATTAAATTGCCTTGAATGTCATGATACTTGTCGGTCGGGAAATGCAGGGTGCTATTTTTTCTCCGGAATCAAACACGAACAGGATGTTTAAGGAATGAATAATTGGGTCACGCTTCCTGCGGATTTAAAATACACACCACCCATTGAGAACTTAACTATTTGTTGTATGATTAATAAAGTATGATCGAGACTTTGAGTTATTGTTCATTACAATACAAATCCATAATTTCATCCGCACCTTATCATCCGATAATATAGCTTCCCGTCTTTGACGATGTTCGCCTAATCATGCGACAATTTCCCGCCTTTTCTATAAAGGGTTGAAAATAGGATCTTCTTTTGGGAACTTATTTGTTTGTTGTATTATTAATTAATAAAGTATTATTTAGATTATCAGTTAATAAATGTTGAAAACGATACAAATCTTGACCAATCTCCCATTTTATTTTGACCTCGCAAATCTTAAAATATAAATCCCTTTATAAACTGTAGTGGCTACGCAATCTATGTACACGTTATCGTGAAAACATGCAGAGATTACTATGCCGTAAATACTACATCAGAATAATAACATAATATGGAACTTCTGGGTATTGATAATTATTTTACTGTAATTTACGAATATGTAAGAAATTATCAGGAAGCCTATTTTGTAAATATGCAGGAATAGGTTTCATCAAAATTTGTAATAAAAGGTTCTATGCTGAAATACATACAACCGAATTACACCATTCGACTGATGACTTCTTAATGCGTATCGGCATTGGATTTATTGAGAAAATATCAAATCTCTGAAGCGTGACATCATAAAAATTCCACAACAATGTATGTTTTATCTCGTAAGATTCCCTTGAATATATGTGACAAAAATTTATTAAAAAGATTAATTAATTTACCCAGTGCTTATTTACAAAGGTATAATATATATTTTTGTATTCGGCACCTACAATAAATTTACTACGCCCGCCTTCGAGATATTGTAGAACTTTCAGTCATGGTCGAGTTGAACCACGATATCAAAAATATTTGATTACCCAACGGGTATGACCGTCAATATTTGGTTTCACGTAGTTTTTTTTCTGGTTATGACCCTGTATCCATTCAGTGTTAGAATAGTTAGATTTCCAATTATAGAGCTACCCTCGCTCACCAACATTATCTTTATGTCTGAGAATGGAATTCCGAGACTATGACCATGGCCATAGAAGCAAGCCCAAGTGGTTGATTGACCAGACTGTGACATTTTTCAGATAAAAAAGTAATACTGTGGATTAATGGACTTTTATGTGCATTTTCCGATTGTGGGTTGTGACATGCAAGTTATAGAATGTAGAGCTACATGTACGATAGCAAGTAAAGTTAAAAATTCACAAAAGGTAGCTGTCTACTGTACTTATATTTTCCGAAAATGGCGAAAATCTACCGATAAATTTTTGAAAGTTTCACCTGACAAGTCACAGAATTCGACCAGACATTGTCCATGTCCGACCAGTTATTTCCAGGCATTTTTACAAAATATACAATCTAATTAAAATATAGATCTATATTTTGTTTCGTTTTTTATACTTTCGATGGCCTACACTACATGTAGATCTAACAAGTTATAGTGGGATTTCACGTTCTATGACGTCAGGTACCAAGCAAGCGACATTTGGCCCGATTACGTCAGTCATTCGATTAACCAATTTTCGACCGCCATGTATTTTTTTTATCTACTTTTGCTTTGTTTTGATTTCTATTGCCGCTAATGTCTACCCACAGTTCCGCGCAAAAAAGGTCAAACGCTCGATTCGACAGACCATTTGATTGGCTGACCCCTCATTTCAAGCAGAATACGAGTTAAATAACAACACTTCCAGATCCAAGTGTAGTAAAGACAAGTAAAATCAAAATTTTGAACTATAAAAACAAAACGAAATTGGATCTGTGTTTTAATCAGATTGCAAAATATATAGCTCTTACAAAATCTTCAATAATTACTTTCAAGAGATATTGCCCTTGATCTGATTGGGTTGAAATTCATACATAGTTTTTCTGTTCAGGCGATCAGAATGCCAATTAATTTCACCAATTTATGATAACATAATTACTTCCAGATGGCCCTTAATCAGTCTTTCTGTTCATGAGATGAAATATCCTATTAATTGTTAAACGATTTTCAATAAGCCGAAAAGCTAAAGTTACCATCTGAGTAGTGGTACAATCTGATTAAAACACAGATCCTATTTCGTTTTGTTTTTTATAGTTCAAAATTTGTTTTACTTGTCTTTACTACACTAAGATCTGTAAGAGTTGTTATATAACCGGAGTTTTGGATGATGTGTGGGATTAAGCAATAAAACGATCTGTTACAGTGATTTTTTTGGTGGGAAAAGGTCATGTCCTCATGGCCCAATGCCCCCTCCCTGTCTAAGCCATTGACACAAATTGACTTTAGGTTGAATTTAAAGGGCGTATTCTTTGGACCCCTTATAAAAATTCTATTGTAATTTTTAATCAATTATGTCGGTTTATACACAAACAGTCCAAATTGAATGTCGGTCGTTTACATCAGCTTAGTACATTCTTCACATATTTTTTATATTATTATTTCGAATATTATGAGTAATTTTGAGCTAGAGATTCATCTCCATTAACATTGGGATGGGACAGCTGTCTAGTTGTTCGTATAGTACATAAAAACCGAGTTCCCGTGTATACATTGGCATGCATGTAAAAGATCCCTTGGCAGTTGGAATTAGATATAAGAGTAGGCCATAGTGCCGCTGCTCGAGCGAAATTCCCATTATAGAACACTGTATGGCGTATGACCTTCTGGATTAGCCCAGTCGGAGCAAAACAGTAGGACGTTAAACCCCATTTCATTTCATGTCTTTTCCTTTAAATTGTTTTATCACTTTTATTTTCAGGTGTTCCATTTGCCTTAAGGCAGGCAGGTTTCGGTCTAGGAATCTTACTGATTATAGGTGTAGCATTAATTACAGGTAAATGTTTACATTATCTGATATATTGTTTCAATGGCATTAAGTAATTTAACTGGAATTACATAGATCACAGTTCTAAGGAAAAAGCAGTAATTGTATTCCATTGAATTGTGACCTGTGTAATTTTTCACATTAACAAATACTGATCTTGGATTTTTTGTATAATGATGGGGATTGATCCTGAAAGGGCAGAGGGAAGGAAGCAAAATAGGCTTTTGATTATTCATCGAACAAGGGTCATTTTTCTTTCTTATTGACGGGTTTTTTACAAATATTTCCTGCTTTTTGTTTTTCTCTTCAACTACTGTTCATTATTGACAAAATGTGAATTATAATAAATACTTAACCCCTACCCCTGTATCCATCTTTGTCTAGGTTGGGGAGTATTACAAGATAACAAAAAGACAAATGGATGGTGCTTTCGTGATCTAGTCTCATTTCACGCTACAAACATAATTTATTGATTGTCTATCTAGACTCAATCTGATTCAATAACTCAGTCAGTGAGGCAGTATGGCGTAGTATTACCTTCAGATTTTAGTTTGACCAAACATTTGATATCCCATGCCTTTAAAAGTCAACCAAGGTCAAATTTATTGTGGTTGTAAAGGAATCGATATAATCGCTACACCAGTCGATGTCTTGAAACTGATCTGTGAGCTCAAGAATTAGCACTGATTGATGACAAAGATTCTTACAAACCTTTTAAGAGCCTGATCCAGACAAGATTCTGAATTATAAAACATGAAATGAAATGTAAATGTACTTTAAAAGGTACAGACTTAAAATCTCTTTCTTTCTCACTACCTGCCAGCCGAGAAACTTTTCTCAGTATTTTCTGGCATGGTTTCCCCTTTGTCAGTGGGGCAGGACTGCGGGCCCGTCAAGAACAGTGTCTAGTCTTTTGGATGGGACAAAAAACTGAGGTCCCGTGTACACATTGGCATGCATGTAAAAGAACCATTGACAGTTGGAATTTGAAATGAGAGTAGGCCTTAGTGCCACTGTCTAGTCAAAATTTTCCTAATGGTCATAGCGCAATGCATGGTGCATGCCCCTTTCCATTAGCCTAGTCGGTGCAGAAAAGTATGACCTTAAAAACAATTTTAATTCTCTCCATCCCTCTTATTCAAATACTCCAATTCATTATTCAAATGCTTATATTTGATTATTGGACCCAATTCAATTGTTAATTTATTTTGATTTCACTGAATTAAAATTCCTGTTGTTGACAAAAATGGATCAAATTAAAAACTGAAGATTTAGTTCATTATTCAAACGTTAATGTGTGCACTATAAAATGTTTTTGCCAATAGCCCAGACAATATATTTTCCTTGTATTATAAAAATAAATTTAATGTTATTCTTATTTTGACCATGTATATTAGTTATAGAAGAAATAGAAACAGCATTTAGTATATTTTATCAAAACTAAATGAATGAATAGAAACAGCATTTAGTATATTATATCAAAACTAAATGAATAGAAACAGCATGTAGCATATTTTATCAAAACTATATTAATAGAAACAGTATTTAGTATAAAATATCAAAACTAAATGAATAGAAACAGCATTTAGTATAAAATATCAAAACTAAATGAATCAAAACAGCGTTTAGTATAAAATATCAAAAAGGAATGTATATATGAAATAAAAACAGCATTTAGTATAAAATATCAAAAAGGAATGTATATATGGAATAGAAACAGCACATTTAGTATAAAATATCAAAAAGGAATGTGGAATAGAAACAGCATTTAGTATAAAATATCAAAGAGGAATGTATATAGAATAAAAACACCATTTAGTATGAAATATTTAATATAAAATATAAAAAAATGAATGTATGTTTGTATATTGAAAAGGAACAGCATTTAGCATTTTATATCAAAAGTGAATGTATATGGTCTGTGTATGGAATTGAAAAAGCAATATCATATATCAAAGTGAATTAATAATTGCTGTCTTTGATACAACACTGCAAACTATATTAAACTGTTAAAAAACAGGAATTATTTTTGACCTGATGTCTTAATATGTGACAAGCAGATTTTTATAGAAGTTAATTAAACTGTGATAGATTTTATATCCTGTGATCAGATAGATTAAATATCACTGATTATAATCATAACAACAGGTGCTTTTAGTATTAACCTTTTAATATCAGTTGACACATTTAATATCCATTGTCTTTTGATTGTGGGTTACTAGATAAAACCAAAGAATTTCTATTAGGGGAATTTGTCATGATATGGTGTGTGTGTGTGAGAGAGAGAGAGAGAGAGAGAGAGAGAGAGAGAGGGAGAGCTTAAGGTTCACTCACACGAACTAGGTCATTGAGAGAGATAGAGAGAGAGTAACATCCAAACCAGGTCATTTCGAGACTAACATATGCATATTTTATTTCAATAATTTGCATGCGCATAGGGGTTTTTAGCAGTAAAGGGAAACAGGAGGACCCAAAGAGAACCCACTAGGATGGACAGGGGAATCGAAACCAGGCCACTTGACTTAAGACAGACCTTATGATCCAACCCCCTGTGGCTGAAAAGGAGTGACTGCTCCCACAGATTCTACTGTAGTTGACTTATTTTTAATAGTGTATAGTTGGTTGCAAAATAAAATTCCTTAAAATACAGATGTGACGTCACCCTTTGATGTTGGTGTACCATTATTTCAAATAATCTTGCCAATAGTACTTTATTCAAACCAGTGAGATATTGGACTAATGTGACGTAAAAGCTCGTGTGGAGTGTCAGTATTTTAAGATGTTTAATGGTCTCGAGCTTACGACATTGCGTAATATATTGTAAAAACATTCGGGCCTACAGCCCTCATGTTGTTACAATATATTACTTAATGTCTCGCTCTCGACCATTATACAATACATAAAGTATGCTTCATAACTCTACTGTAGTTGACCCATTTTTAATAGTGTATAGTTGGTTGCAAAATAAAATTCCAGTAAGTATGCTTCATAATTCATAGACACATTTTGGACGTTTTTATACGCCCACAATTCTGTTTTGATATGGTATAGTTGGTTTGCAAAATAAAATTAAGCTAATTTCTAAAGTACTATTCACAGAAACCAAATATGGTGTGTGATTTTAGTTTAATATCCAATCTGTTGAAAATATACTAATTGGTGATTGTTTTTGATACATAATGGATAATGACAATGGACCAGTCAACTGGTGCGGTTTCGAATCCCCAGTTGTACGTGACAAGGAGTAGGGTCGCCTGTCCAATGTCGTGGGTTTTCTCCGGGTCCTCCAGTTTTCTCCCACTGCTAAAGCATATGTTAGTCCCGAAATGACCTAGTTTGTCTCGAGTGGACATTAAACCCCATTCTCTCTCTCTCTCTCTCTCTCTCTCTCTCTCTCTCTCTCTCTCTCTCACTTTCTCTCTCTCTGAAAATGGACCATGAACAAGCCTTCTATTTCTGGATTCCCATAAAGATAAATTTCCACTAACTAGACATCTAATCAATATAACTCCATTCCCAGACAAATATCAAAGATTGTACAATTTAGTTTTGGTCTCTTTAATTTCATCAGATTATAGTCTTCCAGTTATTAATTGTTCAAATACGGGATCCAAGTGACATTTTTGTGTGGATGAAGTGCCCTGGTAAAATTTCCCTCATAGCATACTGTATGATGGTGTATGCCTGTCTTCATTAGCCCAGTCGTCTTCATTAGCCCAGTCGGAGCAGAACAGTAGGACGTAAAACCCCATTTCATTTCATAAGTCTTTCTTATAACCTTGTAAATGGAATAGCCAATAGTCTCTTTTCATCTAAATCTGGTACTTTGTGGATGCGTGTAGGTGTGTTTGAAATTAAGCTAGAATATGGAAATGATTCTCTTTTGGTTTTGCGGCAGCAGAACTGTGGAATTCTAATGGTTTTCCTATAGACCTCAAGCACTGTACATCAATTGACGGTTTTAAAAGGAATCTTAAAACCCATCTTTTTAGAAACGCTTTCTTTTGAACTGTTAATCGCGTACTCCTTTTAACTAGTGTTTTGACCATAATGTTACCAAAAGAGCAGCTTCGGTTGGATTTTAGGATGTTAATATTATTATTATGAAATGGGGTTTAATGTCCTACTTTTCTGCACCGACTGGGCTAATGAAGATGAATTAGTATATGGGCTTTTAATGCATTAATCGACAAGTTACCAAAGGGAATACATTAACTGTAATAATATTGATACGTAATTTGAATCTCGGGTATCAGATATTGATTTCATTTATGGTTTGTTATTGTTATTGAATTTTTCATTTCTACAAAGTAACTATAAACACTAGTCAAATTTGTTTTAGTTACATTTTAACTAAAAACTGGATCTCAGATAATGGGGGGTTGGGATAACCGAGTGGTTTGGAGTGTCACGCTTCAACCTTTAATAATAGTTTATAGTTTAGCCGGCCGGTCACCTCTGACTTGTGGTTGTGGTACGATCCCTGGTGGTGTGAGCGTATGTGGCTTGGAGATAGGGGTGCATTCTCAACCTATAATATCGCTAATGTCTATGACTAGAGTGAAGTAATTTGACTGAAATTGTCAGCATATTCTCTTTTCATTATCTATTTTTTCAACTATTATAGCGAGAGCTGTCAGCTCTTTATCTTATCTTACCTAATGTTGCTTTAATTATAAAATGAAATGAAATAAAATGAAATGGGGTTTAATGTCCTACTGTTCTGCTCCGACTGGGCTAATGAAGACGGGCTTTAATTATATGGTTGACATGTAAATAAATGTCTAAATAATACTTTATATAACATTTGAAGCTAAGATAAAGATCTGAAATACATAATACATCTTTAAGTCAATTTTCTCTGTTCTAAACAAGTATGAGCGTAGTTTGTGAACTAGGAGAATCGAGCATGATGTCATCTCCATCTTGGAACCATGACGTCATATCAAAAAATTGAAATTTGTCGATCAATGCACAATTGTCCAAAGAAGAAAATACCAGATGTCATG